CTTTGATTTGGCCCCATCCCGCCTCTCTCTGGCACCACCTAATCCCGGGAGAATTGGTTGTGACTCCCATTCAATTCCCTCCCTGGACATTGCAATTCTTGGCTCCAAGGCCACTTCATCCCTGCAGTAGTGAGACCCTGTCCAGCACCATCTGCTACTCTGTTAGTGAGGGGAGGCTACATGCTGTAGCAAACAATCCCAAAATTTTAGTGGTCTCACAAGCAAAGGTTCATTCCTCCTCCACACCGAAGTGAGCTTGTAGGGGGACTTGGTTTTATTCAGTTATTGGCAGGTCCCAGTTTTTCCCTACAGTCAGGCCTCCATCTCCTAAAGCCTTGGAGTCTTCCAGTGGGTCTCCTGCCTCTGAAGACGTTAACTTGGATACGTGTTTGATTAATCATGTAGCTAAGTCTTCAAACTGAGGACATATTTCCCGAAGGTGCGTAAAGATTTCCGAGGGACAGAGGGGCATGGTTATCCTTAGGGAGCTTAGTTTCCAGAATCTTTTTTAAAAAATATATTTTATTGATTTTTTTACAGAGAGGAAGGGAGAGGGATAGAGAGTTAGAAACATCAATGAGAGAGAAACATCGATCAGCTGCCTCCTGCACACCCCCCACTGGGGATGTGCCCGAAACCAAGGTACATGCCCTTGACTGGAATCGAACCTGGGACCCTTCAGTCCGCAGGCCGACGCTCTATCCACTGAGCAAAACCGGTTAGGGCAGTTTCCAGAATCTTTAACCTTCATACAGTCTTTCTTAGGATTGGTTTGCTTAGGAACACCCTGAGATGGTGTCATACTGATTCTTATTTCCTATGTCTTTACACAAATGCCTGTCTTTACCTTAAAAAAATGACATGGCTTTTACTCCAAATCTTACTGTGCTCCTTTAATTTGGGGAAGCCTCCCTGGCACCAAAGAAAAATGTTCAAAGTAAAGATGTCAGTGCAGCATCTTCTAATAAAGGATTTATGAACCCAGTGCACGGCCTCTTGTCTTTCCCTGTATCCATACATTTTTCTGTTAAGGGTGAAGTGTGGAGTTAGCAATTCCATGTTGGGATATTCTAAGTTAATATGCATTGAATAGTGGAACATCAGAGATGATAACCACTTTGTTTAAGACTTTATTTCATCCATCCCTTGGAAAGAAAATCTGGAGAAAGCAAGGAGAGTGTAGATATTGATAAGAATCTGATGTCTTAACTTTATCCTGGTAAAAAGCTCATGGCAGAGCTCTTAGATTTATCTATCTTAGATTTCAAAGGGTGAGTAAGAACATACTTGAGTTGAAAAATAAAATCAGACTTTTTCTGAACATTGTATTATTTGGCTCACGGTTTTGACAATGAAACCTGGCCTTACCAATTAAGTTTTTATGATGAATATTTTTCATTAGTTGAATAAACTAAATTTGCAACTCTAGTGTTCTGAATAAAGTACTTATTAAAATAAAGACATTTTAATAAAAAGAATTTATTGAAGTATAATGAAATTAACATTTCATTTTTCCCAACCTTACCTTGTATAAGCAGGTAAAATAAAGTGTCTATAAATGAAAGAATAGCAGTCATAATTAATAGTCATTTGAAAAGTCTTAGTAAAGCCTTTTAATTTCACTTCTAGAAAATTGACAGTTAATCATTCTAATGACTGGGTAGCAAATTCTTTTGCAAATTGAGTGTTTCCAGTTCTTTACTTTAAGCAAAATTCAAGAAGAACATAATCAAATTGTCAGTTGATAGATGATGAAAATAATTTTTATTGTATAATCACTGTGATTTTTGGCACATATGAGAAAATAATTCAAATAATGGAGTTATCTTATATAATAAAAGGCTAATATGCAAATTGTCCCCTCAGCAGTTCGACTGACCAGGAGTTCGACCACCCACTATGACATGTGCTGGCCACCAGGGGGTGGTGCAGAATGAAGGCTCTGGCCAGCCGCCAGCGGCCAGCGGCTGGCAGCTGGGGGAAGGAAGGCCCCAATTGGCCCTGATTGCCTGCCAGACCTAGGAACCCTACCCGTGCACGAATTTTGTGCACTGAGCCTCTAGTATAGCTATAAAAAACCTCCTTTCATTCCCATCTTTTTATTTACATGAACAAATTTTCTATATTAGTCGGGATAGGTAGGGTATGTTGTGGAAGCAAACAAACCCTCTAAAATAGCAGTGGTTAGAAATGAAACTCAGAAGTTAACTTTTTGGTCATGCAAAGCCTGCTATGGTTCCATTGGCTCTCCAGGACAGTTCACTTACAGGCAGTAACTCATAGATATGTGCTGCATGTTATCCAGTGATGCTATTGCAGGAAAAGGGAGTAGAGAACTCTTTAGTTCCAGGGTCCTAACTCAATACATGGCACTTCCACTCATAGACCATTGGCCAGAACTAGTCACATGGTCCAACCTTAAGGAAGTCTGAAAGGTTTCCCAGTGTACTCAGAAGAGGAGGGTAACTGACTATGGAGAGCACCAGCAATTTCAACCTGAGTTTCTACCAGAAAAAAAGGGGGTGGGGGGGGATAATCCCTGCTGAATCCTGACTTATTCTAACAATTGTAAATTAATATTAACTTGTCTATGATACATCATTTTCATTAAGACATGCATTACCTATAGCATTTTAGTTTGACATATACTATTTATTAACTGTTGTAATATATTTATGTTGTTCTGATCAATTGTGTACTGATAATAACTGAAATAACTCAATATGGAAAAAAATGTATAACACAACCTATATTCACAGGAGAAATTTTAAAATAATTTTAAAATAATATATATATTTACTGCAGGCAAATATGACAAGGTGATGAATAAAATATTTTCAAGAGTAAAAATATATTGCATTAGGAGAAAATTCTGTGGGGAGATTGGAACAGATATAAAAGACTAATGTGAAGAAGAAAGTAAAACATCTGAATGTTAAGGAGTTATGTGTGTGTTTTTTTCTATTTTAAAATAAATTAAGATAAAATTCAAATTGTTTTGGTACCTCCAATCAAAAAAACCACAAAATGAGTCCCATGTATACCAGTGACCTTCTTTACTCAGAGTTAATTAACACAAGCACTTGCTTCTTGCAGAGCACTTTGCTGTAATTTAGAACAAATTAAGGGGGAAATAATTCAAGTGCTGTTTTCTTCACACCATGAAGTGAGCATGATGGGCCAAAGTTAACTCATTTAAAATATTGTCACCCATTTCTTGTAATTATGAGTAGCAATACCATTATATCTTTGCAAAAAAAAAGAAAAAAGACATCCTGATCTATGCTATTTTCAGTTTGTTTCCTGTGCTTCTATTTAATAATGGAAATTGATTTTTAAAACTAATATAACATGCTCTTTTCATTTCTCTCATTAAGTCTCTCATTTACATTAAATTCAAGCATTGCACATTTTCCAGGGTATTTTTTTCACATAAATATATTTTGAATTTAATATGGCAAATTATTAAAAGACTGTATTAATATTTTCTCTTGCCCCTCCCCCAACTCTGAAATTGTGACTTTATTTCTATGTGGTGGTTTGTGAATTAACCTGAGCTTCTTCAGCCTCAGCTTAGGAGGTCATGTCCCCAGGAGGTTATTTAAACTTTTCTCTTTACCTTTTTAGACAGTAGAATTTGGTAGGAGCTGGAAACCCAACTCAAATATGTAGGAATCAGCCTGTCTCTTGTTCCTACAGACTCTGGGGTGAAGGGGAGACCCAGAACCACAAGGAGAGCGAGGGAAAACACCGAAAAGAATAGGGAGAGGTGGGTACTTAACAGGAAGTGTTTACCTCAGTGTGTCACCAAGGACTCTGAAGTTCCTCATTCAAAATGTGGTTCTGTGGAGACTAACGAGGACCCTGCTCAAGACTGAGCATGCCTGAATTAATGCAATGTTTGCTCAGGCTGGATATCCGCCTGTGTATTCCTCAAGCAAGGGATCCTCTGGTCAGACAAGAACTTGTTTTACTCCCTTTTACTCCAAGATGACACCTAAAGATGCAAAAGAAAAAGTCTCTCTGCACACTGCCAGCAGGGGGCGCATCCGTCGGAAGCAGCGCCTCCTGGCAACAAGGACAGATGGAAGAGCTTGGTGATGCTGGTACTCCCTACAGTAACTCCCTGCAGTTAACATGGCAATTTACACACCCCCAGGGAAGACTAGTGAAGAAGTTCTTGTTTCTGTAACAGTGGTTCTCAACCTTCTGGCCCTTTAAATACAGTTCCTCATGTTGTGACCCAACCATAAAATTATTTTCGTTGCTACTTCATAACTGTAATGTTGCTACTGTTATGAATCGTAATGTAAATATCTGTTATGCAGGATGGTCTTAAGCGACTCCTGCGAAAGGGTCGTTTGACCGCCAAAGGGGTCTCGACCCACAGGTTGAGAACCGCTGCTTTAGAAGATCATCTGTATTTGCATGTTAAGTAAATTTAACCTTACATTTAAATAATAAACTGTGTTTGTTTTAAAAATGTAGCTCCATGGATGGTAGCCATTATCACATTGTATATTGTTACAATCCTTCCTTATTCTGCACTTGAAGCCCATTTATCTCACTTACTCAGTCCTGGCCTCTAGTCAGGGAATCAAAATTATCAGTTGAAGTAAGAAATCATAAAAACTGATAGATGCATACTTAGGTTAAACATTTCATTTGCTATTAGAACACATAAATATATATTTATCCACAATTATTTGGTGTATGGACATTGCCATTCATTTACCATTGCTTTCTGTTGGTCTCAAGCATAAAGCATGCCCCTAAGATTTTGTTCACAATCTCCAGTTTCAGTGTCTTTAGAGGAGTGAAAATTTAAAGGTAGCTGTGGACCAATTTGGCGGCAAAGCCCTAAATTTTTATATTTTCCCCAATATTTATAATTGTCTTGTTCAACAATAGAATTTTTAGCTATGTACCTTTATCAATTCTTTGCAAAGCATTTAGCTTAGTTTTCATTAAGAATTCTCTTTTCACACTCACAGTTTTTTTCATACTCATATTTTTAATATAACTTAAATGATAAAATTACAATACCCAGTACAATTGACATAAATGGATTTGGGGACCAACACAATCAACTCGCATTCATCATAAGAGGGACGTGAAGGAGCAGCAGCCCTTTAACAGCATATTTCACAGAGGGCTTGGCTGAGCAGCAGAGCAACGAAATTTTAATTCAGCTGTTGGTGTTTAAGGCTTACTCCAAATTTGAAGTGGGACTCTCCCTCAGAACTTAACTCTGAAATCCACACAGATTGGATCTGAGCATAAATAAGCAAGTCATCTGCGACAGAGAAAATAGCTCTCCAGGAGATTGTAGCTTGGTTAAACATGTCTGAGAAAAGAAAGCAAGATGTTGAGGAAAAAGGGGTTGGGGAGGGGAATCTGTCCCCAGTAGAAACGGGCTCAGACAGACATCCTCAGTAATTTTGGAGGGAAGGGGACTTAGATATTGGGCAGACGATATTTCCACTTCCAATGGCAAAGTTTCTAGAAGCATGGCCGCAGGATTCTAGGGTTCCAAGGACATCTGTGGGTGCGATGGATGCATTACCAGGCCATCTTTCCTTGCGCGATCAAGCAGAACTTCCTTTGTTCCATTTCTACACTCACTAAAAGCCTCTAGTTAGGATTTGGGTTCTCAGTGTAGGTCTGCCTAGTGTCAAGGGAATGTCTCGTCTCCAGCCTTTGAGTACATTAGGCCCCTAGAGAGGGACTGCATACAATAAAGGAAATGGCTTGTGATTGCAGTTAAATTTCCCATGCAGCTGGAGAGAAGGTGCTGATTGCGTAAGTGCTCTTCAATTTCTAATTGTAAAGCAATACACTGGCATTGTGACTGCTACCTCAGTCTCCTGTGTGATTTGGGTGGGGCAGTAGGGACTCCAGAACACTGTGTAGAAGGTGTCCAGGTGGGGGTGATCTCATTGGAAAGGGCTCTAGACCCAAGGAACCTGGTGCAGTGACTGAAGGACAAGTGCGCAGTGCCTACTCAGATGACAGAGCAACCATAAACGGGCATTACACTCTCTACCTCAGCTTTCGTGGGTGTTTAGTTAAGATGAGTCAAGGCATGGCATCCCCTGGTCCCAAACAAGAGTGAGTTTCTGTGGCTTAAAAAACCGAGAACCAGGTCCTGGGACACAATTGGGATCTTCAAGGTCCAACCCATGTCCCCTTAGCCTCCATTTCCTGTGAAGACAACTAGACCTCCTCTACCACTCTTACTCTGTTTATGTCAAGGCAGTATTTGAGGGATCACAGATGGATTTCATGCACCCTATTTTCCAGATGACCAAAGTTAATCTAGGAAATATTCTTTGATTTGACCAATGATACATGGCTAATTTGTGGCAAAGTTGGAATCAGAACCTAATTTTGCGATGCCCGGGTCCGAGCTCTCATCAGTAGTCGGTGGTACCTGTGGTGCAGCTGGCCCCAGCGACCTGTAAGAAAGGTGGAGGCTCAGAGGAGTGGGGGGCATGGTAGAGCAGGGACAATGAAAGAGGACATAAAATCAGAGGGCAACTAGGCTTCTCAGCTCACTCAGACACCTAGGAAGGTGTGACATAGCTGCAATTCTGTTTTGGAATCCAAACAGATGTGTGAAACAGGCCAGGAGCCCCAAGGAGAAAGTGGGGAGCTGAAGGAAGGAGGTGCAGGAGGGGGAGGCTAGAACCCCAGGAGAGCTATACAGGATACCTGACAAGCAAAAGCAAAATTACCGTTAGGCTGTTTTTGATGGAGCTTGTGAATGGCAAGATAATTCCTGGACAGTGGCAGGAACTGGGCTGTTTCTGTTTGTTTTGTGTTCCTGGAGACCGATGCATTCTTCTTAAAATCCAGCGAGTTGCATTCCAACATAATAAAAGATATAAAACAAACAGCTCTGCAAAGTCACATAACTCAGGGGGTGGGGGGGCGGTCTCTTGGTAAAGGCTGGAGAGCAGAAAAGTGGGAAATAGAAAATCATTGAGTTTAGATTCTCGGTCACATATGTGTCAGGTAGTGTCTGTTTTGTTAATCATTCCTCACTTCCAGGCTTGGATGTGTGCTGGATATTCCTCCAAACCCACGCTCCAGCTGTCTGCACCCTGCTCGGTGCCTCAGACTCTATCACTTGGACATCCTTGCTCTCCAGCTTCGGTTGGGTCCAGCCCAATGGGAGACTCCGGAAAGAGACTCAAAAGGAGAAAAAAAGAATGGTTGGGGATTTTAATCTCCTCGGCTTCCTCCTTGCCTTGTTGTGAGGTAATTATGACCCACTTTCTCCCACTGAAGCCACAGCCCCTGTCACCTGCCCCTGTCCCATAGCTCAGCGTTTTCCATATCTGGGAGCAGCAAACCTGCTTGGCTCTTCAGGCCTGAGGTGGTGACGGATGCTGCTGCATGAGTTCCTGGGTGCCTCACCATCCCTCGTTGCTCCCCTTAACATTTCCACACCTTTATCAACAGTTTCTCCATTAAAGTCTCTTCAATTACCACTTCTCAGGAGCCACCCATTTCCTGGAGGCCTCTGCCGATACAGCAGGCTCCCAAACATGGGCCATGCTTTTGATATCGAAATGGCTCACTCCTCAGCAGTCTTTTTTTATTTTTTTAAATTGATTTCAGAGAGGAAGGACAGGGAGAGATAGAAACACCAATGATGAGAGAGAATCAATGATCGGCTGCTTCCTGCATGCCTTCCACCAAGGATTGAGCCCTCAACCCGGGCATGTGCCCTGACCAGAAAATGAACCATGACCTCCTGGTTCATAGGTCAACACTGAGCCACACTGGCCAGGCCTCAGCAGTCTTTATTCTCCAGCTTTCAATTTCATTTTTGTGTGAAGCTTTTCCAAAACAACAACATAAAATTCCAGAGAAACACATGTTCAGCCCTACTAGACTCTAAAAGCCAGCATAGTAAACCATTCCCAAGTAAGCCCTTCTTGGGCTAAAATAAGAGTGGACACTGTCGAGGGAAAGAAGATTATTATAAGCCCACACTGTTAAATTATTCTTTCATGACTGAACACAACCGTAATCCATATTATTATTTTAAATTACACTATAAAATGCAGTCATTTATTGCCTTTCCAAAACATGGTGATAATACATTACCAAATTATCAGGGGTCCTTTATTAAAGCTCTCGAATTTGATTTATAATGTATGATGCAGCTTATCCTTGAGAAAGATCTACTAAAAGGTATACTTAGTCTTAAAGCTAGTGAAGTAAAACCTCCCTCTAATCAGCCGCCAGGAAGCTTCCGCTTCAATGCTTTGTTGATACTGGTGTCAGCAGGACACTAAAAGCTTGAAGCTTTTTATGTTTGATCAAATACCAACATTATGCTGAAGCAGAAGTATTAATTCATAGAGTGAAGCTTCCAAAACCTCTACAATTCTCCTTCATCCTTCCTCCCCATCACCCCACCACCACCACCAAAAAGGTCACATCGAATCAGGGGGGTTAGGGAGAAGAGAGAGATGGACAGTTTGAGAACATTCGACATACACAAAAGAACTCTATAACCCAAGGGAGAGACAAGCACTAAAATACATTTTTCTTAAAATGCCAGTCATATCTAAGAAAGGAAAAAGTAACTGGTGCTGGGAAGTAAGAAGGTGACACGGTTATTATTCTCATCCTATAATGAGAAACCGAGTGTCAGAAAGGGTCAGGAATTTGCCCCCAACTTTTCAGCTAGTGTTTGGGGAAGCTGGGATCATTGTCAATCAGATCATTATACTACAGTTCCTTCCTGGAAAAAAAAATATATCTCAACAGAGAAATAGGAAGCTTCCAAGGTTAAAGAAAAAATCATTTTTAATCCACAACTTTTTTTTTTATCACTTTGATTCTGGGCCTTCAAAAAGAAAAGTTTTACTATGCTGCCAAATTCACACAAAAAACACTCAAGGGAGCAAACTGAATTTTAAGTGTATCTTATAAACCTGCAGCGATGTGTCAACAACAAAAAACAATGTTCTCAGAAGATTATTTACACAAAAGAGCCCAAGATGTATTTACGCTGGCATCTATGTAGTTGCTATAAATGCTAGTCTCAATATGTTTGCACGGTTCTTCTCAAAATGTAGAATTATTGTTCCTGCCACAGCAATTTGGACATTGAGCAACCTGTAAGATACCTACCATCACGATAACCCTCTTAAGACATGGCAGATCCTAGCAGATAGTTTGTTGTTGTTTTTTAACAAACTGATTAGGAAAATTATTTCTAGCAAGTATCACACATGAGAGAAACTGGGAAAATTAACTGCTGACATGGAGGCACACATATGCATTGAGGAAAAGCGGAGGGGGGTGGTTTCAAGAAAGACCTTTTGATTTGTTTGAAAATCACATATCAGGGAATTGAAGAAAGAGAAGAGAAGATGTCCATATCTTATTGCCTAAGTCCTTATTGCCATAAGTGTATTGGACAGTGCAGGGCACCACAAGAGTAACATACATCAGACCTGATAAGAAATGATACTAAACTGGTGAACAAAAACAGATCCAAAGACAGAGAAGCATCGATCAGACCATCAAAACTCAGAGGGAAGGTAGGGGAGGGTTGGGGTAAGGGGGAGAGAGCAACCAAAGGACTTGTATGCATGCATATAAGCCTAACCAAGGACACAGACAACAGGGGGGTGAGGGCATGAGTGGAGGTGTGGGGGGGCAGTGGGGTGATAGGACACATATGTAATACCTTAATCAATAAAGAAAAGAAAAAAAATGGTACTTACCATGATGTTATAACCAAAAGTCTTTCTAAATGAAATATAGGACCTAATTAAATTGTCTGCACTAGGGTCCTGGTGCAAAGTTTTCCAGTGACCAAAAGAGGAACACAGGAAGAGGAAGAGGCCTTGCTGATTGAGTTTAGCTACAGAAACAGGAAAGTCAGTTGCTTTAAAATATTATGTGAAACACAGGGCATAGATTGGTTGTGTAAGCTCTTCTCAAAGTCTCTGGGAAAAAAGGGGGGGAGGTGGTGTGTGTGAAATGGGCAAGAACTGAGCTTCTCAGAGCCAAAGGGAGGCCCCCTAGACTCTAAGGGCCTAGAGGATGATTTCATGAAGGCCCACTGGGGAATCTGGAGAACAGGGGAAACTTTCCTGAAATACACTACATGTGCTATTTTTTTAAAAAAAACATTTTAAATATATTCTTATTGATTTCAGAGAGGAAGGGAGAGGGAGAGAGAGATAGAAACATCAATGATGAGAGAGAATCATTGATCGGCTGCCTCCTGCATGCCCCACACTGGGGATTGAGCCCGCAACACTGGCATGTGCCCTGACTGGGAATTGAACCCAGGGACCTCCTGGTTCATAGGTCAATGCTCAACCCCTGAGTCATGCCCGCTGGGCCACTCCACATGCTCTTAAAAAAAAAAAAAAAAGAGGAACACAGCCCCAAAGCCATACCTGATGGTTTTGTTTTTGCCACCCCGGCCCTCTCATGTCAAAGAAAATAGTTTTCTAGATTAATGTTTTTCCTTGTCAAGAATTGCATGGCTTGAAATTTTGTGTCTAAAACCGTGGTCGGCAAACTGCGGCTCGTGAGCCACATGCGGCTCTTTGGCCCCTTGAGTGTGGCTCTTCCTAAGCCTTAGGAGTACCCTAATTAAGTTAATAACAATGTACCTACCTATATAGTTTAAGTTTAAAAAATTTGGCTCTCAAAAGAAATTTCAATCATTGTACTGTTGATATTTGGCTCTGTTGACTAATGAGTTTGCCGACCGACCACTGGTCTAAAACATTCAGCCATAAGTAGTTTCTCTCAGTTTAAAGATTCCAGCACCAAGTTCCTTTTTATGAAGCTTCAGAGACTATTTTAGTTGACATGTGACACTTGGCCATCTATCATCTCTGAACAAGCTCACTGTCCAGCTTCCTCTGCAGCTCAGGAGCAGGCATGTGGTCTAGCTCCACCAGTAAGAAGTACAAAGTGAGACCTTAATTCAGAAGCAGACACCATTGCAGTAGACTAAATAACACCCCCAAAGTTATCAGGCCCTAATGCTTAGAACCTGTGGTTGTTACCTTATTTGGTAAAGACATGGCAGGTGTAATTAAATTAAGGCTGTTGAGCCAGGGAGATGAACCTGCATTGTCCAGGTGGGCCCTATAGGACATCACATGTATCCTTATAACAGAGGTTCTCAATGCCGTGACCCTTTAATAAAGTTCCTCATGTTGTGGTGACCCCCAACCATAAAATTATTTTTGTTGCTACTTCATAACTGTAATTGCTACTGTTATGAATCGTAATGTAAATATCTGATATGCAGGATGTATTTTCATTGTTACAAATTGAACATAATTAAAGCCTAGTGATTAATCACAAAAACAATATGTAATTATATATGTGTTTTCCGATGGTCTTAGGCGACCCCTGTGAAAGGGTCGTTCGACCCCCAAAGGGGTCGCGACCCACAGGTTGAGAAGCGCTGCCTTATAGGCAGTGGGCAGAGGGAGATTTGATACATGCAAGGAAAAGGCAATGTGAGGGTAGGGCAGAAAGGGATCTGAAGATGCTGGCCTTAAAGACTGGAGTTATGCAGCCACAAGCCAAGTAATGCCAGAGCCATCAGAAGCTGGAAGAAGCAAGGAATGGATTGTTACACACTGGAAACTAACACACACATGAAAAATGAAACCAGAACCAATTGTGGCCAGGGTGGTGGTAGACACATACAGCTTTCAGAAGCAGTACTGGCTGAAGTCCCAGGACTTCAAGTACAAGGTGAGCTTTGAGACAACTCCCAAAGGGTGTGGCATGGAGTCCTATGCATTGTATTTGCTGTGTAGTCTCTGACTTTCTCGACAGTTCTATGTGCTGCCTGATTTACTTTCATAAATGACTTTTCTGCTTGAGCCAGAGTGGATTCTGTTTTCTCCATTTGAGAACCCTAGCTATAACAATAATAGCTATTATCTTCACAAAATTAGCATTACCTTAAACATGTTGGCCATCCTAACCTATAGCCAACCCCCTTCTTCCCACATATTTATCCATATGAAAACCAATTAAACTAAAAAGAGAGAGTAACCAGGGTATGGAAAAGAAAAGAAGGTGATACCAGAAGCATATTCATTTTCATTAAAATAAATTGATTAAGTCACTGCATTTAGCCAAAATAGCAACGAGCCCCGCCCAACCCTATTTTGAGGAGATAAAATAGGTACTTTAAAGATTGTAGACTATTGTAAATGAATAATATACAATTCTTGCCCTGGAATCTTGCCCTGTGGTTTAGTGAAAGGACATGCTTCTCTCTAGGCCCTTACTACTCCAAGTGTGGCCCAGGGACCTTCAGAATCAACAAAGAACTTGGAAACATAGAATCCCAGACTTTAAATGACTCCTACCAAACCAGAATTTGCATTCTAACAAGATGCCCAGGTGACTTATATACATATTAAAAGTTGAGAAGCACTTTAAGAGGGGAGCAGGAGGAGGACCTCATACAGGAGATGGCATTTGATTTGGCACTTAAGTTGACACTTGGGTTGAGCTACAGAGAAAGATACACCAGAAAAACACCCTAAGTAAAGGCATGAGTGTGGGACAGTATGAAACATGATCACATCATAAAGTGTTAAGATATCCCACATCTATATATATAATAGCCTAAGCAACCTTTACAGTGGAACAACCGGTCACTATGATGCGCACTGATCACCAGGGGGCAGACTCTCAATGCAAGAGCTGCCCCCAGGTGGTCATTGCGCCCCCACAGGGGGAGCACTGCTCAGCCAGAAGCCAGGCTCATGGCTGGTGAGCGCAGCTGTAGCAGCGGGAGCCTCTCCCAACTCCAAGGCAGCACTACCTGCAGCAGGTGCAGTGGGCCGAGATGAGCGAAAGTGGTGTGGCGCCTGGCCCTGGTTTAGGCTCCTCCCTGGCCACCTGCTGCTTGGCACACTGCTACATCCCCCGAGGGGTCCTGGACTGTGAGAGGGCACAGGCTGGGCTGAAGGACCCCCCCCCTCCAGTGCACAAATTTTGTACACCAGGCCTCTAGTATAAAATAAATAAGGATAAGATTATGGATGATTTAAGAGTCAGGCTGTAGACTTTTCACTTTAGCAGGAGAAACTGAAGGTATTTGAAGGGGCAGGGAACAGGGTGATATGACCAGAACTGTGCTTTAGGAAATTTAGTCTGACCATATGTGTCCAGTTGATTCAAGGGGATAACTAGAGGTACAAGCTCAGTAGGGAGCCTATGACAATTGTTCAGGCAACAACACGGTAATGACAGTATGAAGGAAAGGAAGGTTCTGAAGAAATAAAAAGAACTTGGTACTGTTTGGGGATGTGAGAGATGGCATCAACAGAAAAATCCAAAGTCTGGGTGTTCAGCAAGAAAGATAAATTGAAGGAGCAGTAAAGTTGCTGAGTTTGGGTATTAGTCTTGTTGATTTTGATGCATCAGAAGAACATGCAGGTGTGTGCATTTGGAAATGTGAGATTAGATTAGAGCTCAGGAGAGAGGTAAACTCTAGAAAAAGCTTTGGGAGAAATCTGCATAAAGGTGATAACTGCTACCTGGGAAACATGATACCAGAGGAAAAAGTGTGGATGGTGAAAAAAGAGAGCAAGGAAAGAGCCTTGAGTAATAACTTCACTTAGGGGATGGAAGGAGGAAGAAAAGAAAATGTAATGGCCAGGGATCTTGGGAGCAAACCACAGAACGCAACTCGGGCTCACCTAAGCAGAAAAGGAAGTGGGGGCTCTGTCACAGTGAGCGAGAAGAGGAAAACTAGGCTCAGAAAACAAGAAGGAACCAAATGCGCTGGCAGCTGTGAGCCAGGACAAGCTCACACAGGCCACAGAAGTTTGGTAAGGATGCCGCCACTGCCGTGCTGTCTGCAGGGCATGCTCAGTGAGCTGACACCTCGCCCTTGCTTGGGCAAGGAGACTTAGTGCAACTTCCACCTGCAGAAATAATTCCTAACCATCCTGGACAGGAGTTTCTGATTGACAGGGCGCAGGGAGTCAGCAGGCTGGCAGCCAGAGGGGAGGAGAGGGAGGAAGAGGGGAGGTACACCCTTCACCCACCGGAAGGTTCTGCTTGTCTTCCCA